GCTCCCTTTAGATCAATTTTTGTAAAGATCCTTGCATGTCCAAGTTATTCTAAGAGACCAAAAATCAAGGGTAACGGATAACGATTCTTCTTTGTTATCTTGTTGAGGCCTCAATAGTCCACGTACATCCGCAACGAGCCATCTTTCTTCTTCACAAATAAGATGGGTGCTCCAGCTGACGATTTTGAATGACGGATGAAGTTCTTGGCTAGATTCTCGTTGATGTTCTTCCGCAACTCTGCCAACTCCGTCTGCAATAGATTGTAGATTGGGCCAAAAGGCGGTTGTGCTCCTTCTTGTAAGTCTATGGCGCAATCATATGGTCGGTGTTCCGGTAGCATGTCAGCATTCTTCTTTTGAAACACGTCTTTAAAATCCTTATATTGCTCAGGTATACTTGTTGTCGAGATCTTCTCCCCAGTAATTGGAACCGCATAAATGACAAACGGTGTGCCTTCCTTGGACGATCTTATAAATGTTCTTGCTCCAATGAATAAGAAATTCTCTATTCGGGATTTTCTACTAGGCTTGCTCTTGGGTCGTTTTGTAGGAAAGGTCATCTTCCGCAACCTCCAATCTATGGATGGGTTATGCTTTTCCAACTAGGAAAGACCAAGAATAACAGGATTTGATGGTGTTTTAATAATATTAAAAATAATATGACTACTATGGCCCTTAAACGTCACTTCTATAGGTTTTGATTCATGGGTGACACTACCAGACAATAAAGGTCGTGCATCTATGACCTCAACGTGAACAGGTTTGGATTTTTGTACTAAAGGGATCTTATGACACTTCACAAATTCTTCATTTAAGAAACAAGCAGATGCTCCTGAATCTAATAATGCTAAGGTTCTCAGTTTTTGAGGGCCAATAACAAAGGGATTGTAAAGCAAAGGGCAGGTTGAGCGGAAAGAAAGGAACTTGGTTGTTGTTGCGATATTTCACTGTCCAGTTGCATGGTTCCTATTGTGGCTGGGCATCCTTGTTTTCCTGAACAAACGTGCCTCTAGTCTTGAAAATACGTCGATTTTGCTTCTTGGGGTAGTTTCCAACTTTGTGGCCTTTTTCACCACAATACAAGCATAGACCTTCCTCCATACGTCGCTTTTTTTCTTCTAGGGTAAGAGATTTGACACGTATCACATCAATTTGTATGTCTTCTACCTCTGAATGTGAATTCACGCTATTTGTCGACATAGTTGGGGCGTGGCGAACCGTATGTTGTCTTGAACATTAGTCTTGGCAACGTTGGAATAGGTGATTATCGCACTTCACAGCTTGCCTAATAGCTTCGTTGAGCATTTGTGGATTAAGAAGAGTTAACAGTAAATCCTTTACATCATCCCTTAAATTCCAATAGAATTGACTCATCAACGCTTCTTTGTCCCAATTGATGTCGCATGCTAATTACCTAAAGTCTGATGCATAGACTGATGTAGAGCGCATCCCTTGTCATAGTGACCGGATCTTTGTTGTAGCCCATTGAACCTTATCATGTTTACCAAATGCTTCCGCAAATGCCTCCAAAAAGGTTTCAAAGTTGTTTAGTATGGACGATCGTTTCTCAAACAAAGGAGCAAACCATGATAGAACTTACCATGTAAGTAAGGTTCCAACAAGCCCAACACGTGACTCCTCCGTTGGATAGCATTCGGGCTGTAAAACTGTTATCAACCTGATTTGATTGACGAATCCTCAAAACTTGGAACGCGTACCATCGAACTTGTCCGGAAGGCTAACTCGAGGCTCCTTATGTTATAGAACCAGCGGTGCTTGTTGAACCTGAGGCAAAGTTGCTTCTCCAAGTGCATAAGTTTGAGGCTGGTGCAACCTAGATTGTGCCATCTCAAATGCTCCATCATTATGAAGCCTTGCCACGACTCCTTCAATCTCTACAATTATTTGCGATAATGTAGTAAGGGCATTCATGATAGCATCCAACTTGGACTCCGAACTTTCCGTCATACTAATGTCTTGGCCTCCGATCATTCTAAGAGAAGGACAGAAATGACTCTACAAGAAGACAATATTGGTTCAGAGGAGGGTACTCCGCAACCTCTAAAATGCCTTAAGAGCTTCAAGAAAAGGGGTAATCCACTCTCTCCAAGAAGAATAAGACTCCAATATTGTAACAAAAGAAGTATCAGTTTACAGGAGGGTAATCCGCAACCTCTAAAATGCTAGTACACTTCCAAACAGAGGGGTAATCCGCACTCTAACGAGGAAGAAACTAACTCTAATATCTGAGGTGAGTGAAGTCTCGACAAACTGTCACGGACACAGAAATACAGACTCGAGATCTAACAAGAAGTTTAAGAAGAACTGGCAAGAACTAGATTAATCAGATGAATACAAGAACAACACCAGAGAGGTGAGCTAGAGCTCCAAGAGATGTGTTGTCTAGACTGAAGAACTCTTCAACCTCGATTCTAATATATACTCCTATTTAGGAAGCCTCTCAAGCAACTTCTACCAACTATGAAGCTTCTAGAAGGTTCCAGAGACTTGCTTCTAGAAGATTCTAGAAACTTATCTCTAGAAGGTTCTAAGGACTATGTCCTTAACATCTTCTACCAACTTAGAAGTTTCTAGAAGGTTCCAGAGACTTGCTTCTAGAAGGTTCTAAAAACTTGTCTCTAAAAGGTTCTAAGGACTATGTCCCTAACATATAGAGCCCACTACCTAGGAACATTTTAGAAAGTCTAGGATGGTATGACAAGGTATAAATAGAACTTGGTAGGGCCTTTTGGAGCATTTGGTTAGGTATGGCTTTGAATCCTTTCTCTTAGTAAAATTTGGTTTTGCATCTTTAAATTCAATTCTATTTTGTTCTGTTTTTCTTTACTCAGTTTTCTCTTTCATGTCTTATTCTGTTTTATTTTATTCAATTTTGTTCTAGTTTTTTTTGTCCTATTTTGTGATGAAGCTTTATATTGCTATGGATTAGAAGAATCTTAGAATTTCGAGATAGTCTGGTCCTATTTCAACTATGATCTAATGTACGATATGACATTCTCCATCTTCTATTCCTATTATTGCAAGCAAAGACTTGAGTGAGAAATTCAAAGTTATTTGAAGATTTGTCACAATTTAATACCATGATGTACTATTTGTAAATATATAGTATTTATTAGGTGATGCTATTTCTTTAGTTGCATCTCTTGGTTGATACCTTGTATGTGGGTATTGCTTCTATCTTGTATTCTTTAAATATTGAGTTTAGCCTTGATGTTCAAAAAAGTACTTCATATTTTCTTGCCTTTAATAAAATCTTATATTGACATTGTCCTCTCTTACAATGTTCTATTTTTTGTACTACATAATGGTCCTATTATAGCTTTAAAGGCAAGAGATTTTCTTTTTAATAGTACTCTAGTCCAACCAGCTACTAAATTTATTTTTATTTTTCTTTTGTACAAAATGATCTACTAAAGATATACTTCATTGTATTAATAGTAATAGATTACAAAAGAATCCACTAAATTCATAAAATTCTCTAAAATCAACATTCTTATAAATTCGGATCTATGTCAAAGTATAGTTTTAAATTTCATGGAATCTCAAGGCATGCCTTAGACAATCAAAGGCAATTATCTTAACCATTCGACTATGAACGCTTTCTTAAAAGATGCTAATATCATTATATCTTTAAAATATATATATATATATATATATATATATATATATACTTATTTTATCCTATCATATCTGATCAGTGTATGAAGATTTGTTTAGTTAGTTTTTTTAGATTTTTTAAACTTTCTTATTCTATTTTATTTTATTTTTTGTTTAATTGGCATACTTAAATGTATAAATAAATTTTATTTTTTTCAATTTAAATAGATTTTTTCTCTTATTTTCACTTAATTATATACTTTAATTGAATTAAAAAAACTTCAAATAGATTCTATTTAAAAAATACAAATTTATTCTGTAAATCAACTAAAAATTTGAAGAAAAAAAAAAAAAAAAAAAAAAAAAAACACACACACACACACATACTATGATATCTTTAAAATGTTATTTACAACATAATCATTAAATATCTAATATCCTCTAATAATATAATAGCAACTACAAGTATGGCAAAGAAAAAGAACAACAAAAACTACAAATGCTAAAAATTTACAAAATTATTTCAATCTACAAAATATATATATATATATATATATATATATATATATGTGTGTGTGTGTGTAAATACATAAACCTAAAAAACAGACAAAGATAAGTTAGTTAAAACTATCATACACATATGAAAAATAAAAATTTAGAAACAAATTAAAAGTAAAAAGATTTAAAAAAATAATAATTACATGTTATATAACTATTTCTATATAATGAAAAAAATCAAATAAAAAAATCAAATACATACAATCTTTTTATTTATCACTATTGGCAAAAAATGAATTAAAAATTGAAAAAAAAAATTGTTATCAAAAATACATTAATGTTCATATTTTACGCTAGTTTTGGTAGAATCAATCTACCATCTAATAATCTAAAATGCAAAAGTTTGTAAACAACTTTGGCACTTTGTGCACCTCAAATCAGGACTTATTCTCATTGCCAAGTCTACATCTACTTAAACATTACTATCATAATTCTACTCTCTTAGACAATTAGACAACATTATTTCTCACATAACATATTCTAGTACTCAATAAGAATACCCCTTGCATGTTGTCAGATATTCATAACTGTACATTGTAAAATGATTCCTAGCATCAATGATCACGAAGTTAATATGATTCACGCTGAATTGAGAATAAATGTTTCTACCTAAAACAAAGTTGGTGACCCAAACCTATTCTTCTAACACACTACGTAACTAGGGTTTTCTATAGATTCAGCTATTTGCAAACGTTGAAAAGAAATGAATAAATAAACTCAAACAGACACTGATCACCTTGAACTTTCACATTATATTCTACAGTACTCTGTACAACCGTCACAAAACATGTTGGATCTGGCATACAGAAAAAGAATAGAAAGAAAGAAGATGACTTTGTTCAGCAGACAGTGAGTGAGAGCTGTGAGGGCTTGAGAGATGGAATGTGTGTCCTTTAGCTTTCGCATTTGCCTTAGAAAGTGATGCACCCCAAAAGTATTAAAAGGTCCTGAAATAATAATCCAGAGTGGCACCGCACTTACACTGAAGCATTGCCTGACAGACAAACTTCACTTGTACAAAACTCACGCACTCACTCACTGTTTGAGACTTAAAAGTGTGTGTGTGACTGTCCTGGTGTTCATTTGACTCTGCCTGCAGAATTTCGCATTCAGGCAACAAACTTTCAGTGAATTAGCTTCCCTTTGCTCATCTTCGTTAGGATCGCCATGTTTTCTTCCTGGGCATGGAGGCGGAGTGCTCAACTGCTGCCGGGAGCCTCTGGATCATCGTTGTTCGTGAGGTGTGCAAAAGCGGTGGCTGCTGAGTCGAGGGGAAGCCTGGAGCCGGCGAAAGAGGAACCGTCGTATTTGGCTGCAGAGATCGAGAGGATGAAGAAGGCTTACGAGGTAGTAAGCTTTATTTTTTGAAAAAAAGTTTTCTGGGGTTTTAGAGTGCATTGTGGTTTCAAATTTTTTACTGGATTGTCACTGTCTCTCTAGTTGCAGAGATTCTGATGGCCTGAATTCAGACGGTTGCAGAATTACAGTGTGTCGCCTCCAAAGCCTTTCAAATTGAAGGATAATGGCGATTTGCACTTGCTTCTGACCCGGCGCAAAGGGCCAGAAGACATCCAGGTTAGGTGTGAGCTTTTCTTCCATCCACGAGGAGGCCCGCCAGAAGAGTTGGTGATTGAGGAGTTGGAAGAGGAACAATCAGTGGAGCAGAAGGTGGTTGTAAACATAACCCTCACTATCACGAAAGACGGCCCGCAAGCACTCGAAGTGAATGTCGACTGCGATCGGAGAGGATATGCTGTCAACCACATCGTCTACCGAGAAAAGAAGGACATGAAGATTGAGGACGAATATTTCCCAGCATTCTGGTAAGCATGAAACGCACGCAGTACCTGTCTTCGCCAATCCAAGGAGCACCACAGTAGCAGTTTGGTAGAAACTCTCAAAACCCCAAACCCTAAACCTTGACCTAATGATGTGTACATGTGGCATTCAGGAGAATTAGCCCAAAATTAAGGGTAGAGATTCATAATTTTTTGGAGAGGCGAGGACTAGACGAAAGATTTGCATGTTGGGTACACGATCAAATGGACAACAAGGCGTTCAGAGAGCGTCTGCATCAACTGCAGAAAATCGATTCTTTTCTGGGATACAAGTTGAAGCTATGATAGAGCGGACTAGATGTCCTCTTCTCCTACTGAAGTGATTGTCAACGGTCGTTAATTTGCTTTCAACTTAACGGTTGCCTCTGCCCTTGAGTCACCTCCATTGGAAGTACTATTCATTATTGACCAGGAGTGAACAGACTAGCCTGAGGTTGCCTATTACGACTCCTGGAGGAGTTACACATGTACAGATATTACTTGAGCACAGAGAGTTCATTTATGTCCGTCGATCGATTCTCGAATGATTCTGATGTTGCAACATTTAGTGTACTAAACTCTGATATTTCTCAAAAGCTCTTTCTGACCTGTGGATCTCTCTCGAGCGTTGTGCGATTGCTTCTCATGTAGCGTGAACCTATTTACTAGCCTATGCGACCGGCGGTGATGCTCAGTTACTCGTGTGGCCTCCATCATACGCTTACTTGCCATCAACACAGTCCTTCCCTGCGACATGATTGCGTTCCAACAAATGCGCCCGCACACCCGTCCCCACCTCAACCCCCCCCCCCCTCCCCCATCGTAACTAGACACGGAGAACAAATGAATACAACTCGATGTGAAGTGTACGTATTGATAAGCAGGAAAGTACTGAGTTTGACAAATGTAGCTGAAAACAAATACAGCGAAATGCAGCCAACTCGCATCTTTTATCCAACTAACAACCTATACGAGAGAAGTAATGACAATATACAAGCCGACCCAAGCACAATAATACACGAGTAGACTTCTAGTCCCAGCTCCTATTCGTTGTAGCAGGAACCCGGAATCCCTCGTCCACCACTCTGCTAGTCTTCACATGGGGTGTGGAGATGTTGATTAACTGCAGTTAATTTGTCATTAACGATAGTTGACAATAAATAAATAAATAAAAATAAATAAAACACCCAAGAAACTGTGAAGTAACTCAACACCCAAGAAACTGAAAAAATTCATAACCGATATCGGGTTTATGAGCAAAGCACTTTCAAGTCCGTCTCAGTATGGTTTAGTAGGGTTCCGCATTTCATGAGGCACCGCAACACCGTCCAAGGTCTTGCCAGAAATGCTTTTAATGGCATACTAATGTTCCAAAATACAACCCCCATTCAACAGAGGTACAATGAAGATCCCATAAATAAGCATCCGCCCAGGTTTGAATGTTCAAACACATGTAAAACTACTGCTGGTGCGTAGGAATTTAAACTGTATCTACAGCTAGACTGGTGCACGAAAGCTTTGTACTAGGAACTAACTCTACACTTAGCTCAAAAGGTTCTATTCACAGAAAGCCTGTTACGACGATGAAAAAAATTTAACCCTCCACATCCCCTCTTAGCTTTTCCCCAACCAATGTTACTAAATATCTGTTTTCCACAAGCTGTGCAATGACGACAGCGGTGGGAACTGTTGGATCCGTGAAAGCCTGGTTGACAACTCGCAGCAGTCAACCATGTAAGAAAGCAGATCATGTACGTTCAATAGTACTCGGTACTACAACGAACCTATTTCTTCCATGGGATTACCAAAAAGTTAGTAGATGTTGTCAAGGTCCCCGTCTGTAACAGCAAGAAACTAATTTCTATGCCCTTTCAACTCTTTATCCACCTGGCAAGGAGATGTTGATATCAGTCCTCCGACCTTCTCCTGAAACGGGTGGAAATTGCCAAGTAAACGTCGGTTGAAACATACTCATGGCTTGCGGCCTTGGCACGGAGGATTGACCAGGAAGTGAAGGGACGGATGGTGCTTGCTGAGGACCAGATGCTGCATCCACAGTGAGTCCATCATTGTTAGATGTCCACGATGAAGCACCAATAACAAAACACATGTAAACAAGCTAGAATCATGAAGTCAGCAGAACAGATCATGCTAAAGCATCCAGCAATTTATCTGTTAAGGAACTAGAGAAATAAATGAAATAAAACAAAATCAAATAAAAATAAACCTTGAACCCAAAAACAAACAGAATCCAGCAAATGAAAAGCCACAACACATCTAAACCCTGGTGCGTTTAAGTGTACCTGAACTTGGTTTTGGTTCAAGTCTGGGTGGTGTAGGACGCTGAGCTCCAGGCGCTGATCCCGGAGCTGTTCCAGCTCCAGACGACCCTCCTGGTCCAGAGCTGAGTGGAGATTTGGACCTCGGTTGAGTTTTGAAAGAATCAGAAAGGAAACTCCCAACAACAACCTGTATATTGCAAACGAGAGGAGAATAAAATCACCATATAAATTGGGGTGCTAACAACAGATCCAACGAAAAGGACACCAAACAAGAACGTCCAGTCGTCAGGTTAAGCATAAGTAGTTACTGCTAAAGCATAATGTGGTGAATACAAAATCAACAGTTTATGGAAACCTCTCACCCCAAACAAACGTGAGAAACATGTAGAGAGGGCTGAACCAGCAGAACAATCAGAGAGTCTAGTTCAGTCTATTTCACGTATCAAATCGTGGAAACGAATATATGTAGGGATACCTGTATGGGAGAAGCAGCGGTTAGCATTCCGGCAACACCTCCACCGATTACACTCCCATCAATACCTGCCAAAGACACACTTAAACCCCCTGTCCGTTGCCGAGCACCACCTCCAAGATCCGTAGGTAGATACGAACCTGACAAAGAAAGTATCTCAAAGCGACCCTGGATGCCGAAACACAGTTGGATAAGTTGAACAGTATTGCACAAAACCCTGAGGTCATTTCTCTATTGCTGGGGCTAATCTTATCCATCTCGCCAATATTCTCATCTTTAGATGCATCAGTGAAGATGAGGTGCATGTAAGGTGAGAATGTAGAAACGTTAGCAAAGCGTGCAAAATCTAGTACAATTGGCATCTTATCTTCCACTAATACTTCAGGATACAAAAACAAGGACTTGTCATACCTCGTAAGTCACAGTGCCTCCTGATGACGACTGCTGGCGGAAGGTCACATTGGAAATGGCACCATTGGCTGACAACACACACGTTGCGCGTGGACCATGCTGTGCAAACTGCATGATTTTCGTAGCCACGTCCTGTGATAGGCACATAATAGTCTTCAGTAACCTAATCAAATCCATTCACGACCATGGTAATACACTTCGAGACATCTGAATGGTTCTGGTTAAAATCCAAAAATGTCCAAATGTAGAACAACGAAGGCGATGCACACAGGGGGAGAAAGTTCATACCTCCCCCGTGTTTACAGTCAGTATGTGGGGAGTGAAACCTTGCCCTGAACCCGCTAGTACAACCCCTGGAATAGCAATAAACCAGCATGAACAGGATTAGAAACCAACACGCTAGGAAATGCTCCCACAAAAAGACGACGATTAAAAGAACCAAATAACATCCGAATAACTCTTACTTGAATTCGAAGACCAAATAGCTTGTTACACTAGCTGTCAAAGAGCATGTCTCTCACCTAGAGCAGCCAATTGTTGCTTCTTCCCAGAACCTAGTGGACGCCCTCTTCCTCGTCTATCAGGGGACGAATATGGCGATGAGGATGGGCCGGGCAGAAGCGATGGAAGAACAGGAAAACCACCGCCAGGGACTCCTGGAGTTAATCCAGCGCCAGTTTCATATTTGCGAGGCCTCCCTCGCTTCCTCTTACGAGTCTGCTCAGCCCCAGCCCCACTGCCACTCCCATTCCCACCCCCGGCACCTGGGTCTACCATAACCATGCTCATCCCTGAGCTTGACGGCGGTGCCACAGTCTTGATTGGACGAGGACCAGACGGGCCACTCTCCGGGAGGGCACTGCTCATACTATGCAAAGGGGTAATACTACTCAGTGATGGAGGCGGCGGAGGTCGAATAGCTGTTGGTGTGTGCAACCCTTGCCCCGGTACACCACCCATTCCTCCACTTTGGGGGCTGCTCATACTTCCGCCGCTTCCGCCGCCTGGACGTTGCATCCCTTCGACAAGATCCTGCATTACTACCATGAAAACAACCTTAAAATCTCGCGACGTTGCAAGAAATATGTACAGTAGCCGTTGGAAGCTGATGCTACGAAGAAAAAAAGATGCAGACCCAGTTGAATGTCACAAGAGAGGTGAAGCCGTCAACAAGATTCTACACAACAGCTTCTAATGATGCTTTGAGTCATTAGTTTTTCAGCTATTCGACAGCTAGTAACCGGTCATTGCAAAAAAAAACAAAACAAAACACAATCTTTTTTCGAAATGTGCAATGTTCAAACAGCGCTCAAATAGTCACATTTCGGACATATCAGAAACGTATACGTAATAAACTTACACATCAAACGGCACTAACTAGGCGGCACCAGGGACACTGCGACAATACAGAAGCGAGAAATAACAGACAGCACAAGCCAATGGATTCACTTCTATCTCGGGGTCACAGTAGAGGTTCCAAAACCAGGTTCGACTATGGGACAAAATGCTCCCAGATAGTTAGCCCTCCTAATGTCCCATCTGATTCCCTCTCCAATATACCTTCAACCGATAAAGGATTCAGTTCTGTGCGGAGGAACCAGATTGCAATTTAGATGCTTGATAGCTAGAGCATAAGTTTATCATCTGGCAAGAACCAATTCTAGCCTTGCATCTCCAGACGTTAAGCTCTTTAAAATCATTTTTTTCTTCACTTACTTGTTCTCGTCAGCAGTTTCGTGCTTTAAGTGGTATCGAAATAATGCGTGTTTGATTAATGTCGCTACCAGTTGCGCTTGTTTTACACAGCTTGAAAGACCACTATAGCTGCCCCATCAGCCTACGAGCGGCGTATCAATGTCCGCAATCCAGCGTCGGTCGGCGCTGACGATATTCCTCCCAACAGAAGCAGAGCCGTCATCGTCTCTGATACTGACCACCAAAACCCAACACAAACACACTGGCGATGAGAGTATGGTAAACAAGGAGTTACACTGACACTTTGTAACCTCGGTCACTACACCACTGCTTCTAAACACCTATATAACTCCGTCACTCAAGTCGCTCAGGAGCACAGTACCTACGTAACGCTTTAGATTCGCTTAGTCATATGGATGGATCATAGGCCATGCGCAGGGATGATTGAAGAGGCATTCGTACGGGTCAGAGGTGTTACGCTTTCAGCTCACAAAAACAATCCTACAAGAACATTATCAGGTACCGCTGAAAACTCGACGATCAGTGGTTTTTCAAGCAAATGTGATCAAAAGTTGGGAGCGATAATGCGACCTCCAGTAATTAAAGCCGGCAGAAGATTGCGTCCCACTCCGTTCGAACGATAGACCACGTATGCAGGGTTTTAGACTTTTCCACTCAAGGAAAGAGAAGTACTGTCCAGGGGTTCCACGTAGAGTAAAAAAACGAAGCAAAACGCGCTAGCACCCGCAGCTGAAGAGCTTGACACTGGACACTATGCGCGAGCGACAACACCATCGCTTCATCCGAGCAACATGCTAAGCACTCGCACAGCCTAGAGAGTTTGGATTCGACAAATACAAGGAAGACGTCCTCAGCAAGTAATCTCGTGAGAGAAAGCAAGTGTCGGCAACAACTCCTTCACATACACTGCCGATGCTTCCGCTCAATCCCCCCTCACTCGTCTCTGCTGTAGCCCTAGTTTTTCACAGAACCTTGTCTACACACCGAGTACACCGTACCGTCTCATTCCACTGCAATTCGTTGCGAGCACGGACGACCTCTTGAGCCAACTCCGAGAGTTTAGACGCCCAATAATTTGCTCATCATCTAACAGCAATCGTGTTGGCGCCGAGCACAACAATGGAAAAATCACAGCGGCGGCGATTCAACACCTTCCTCAGCCTTCGGTCCCTCAATCTTTTCCCGAGGCTACTCAACTCTTAGAAACCGCGCATCCCGAACTTTGCTGTCGAGTGCTCTAGCAAACAACAAGAGTGTGTGTGCTAGCTCCTCACTGACAAAAGCAAGCTCGAATTCACCAAGGCTCCTAACATCTAGATGTGGCTTACCCGTCCTTCCATTCCTGATCACAGGCAATTACAGCACGAGGTGGGGAGTGACGAGCAGGGGAGGGAGACCCAATAGGGATGCCACTACTTAGAAGAAGCAGCTGAGCGGCATCAAAGGTGCCATGAAGAAGGACTCGATTTGCGAGCAGAGCAGGAGGTTGTCCCTGGCCCCCAGCAACGAAAACAGCGAGCCTGCCTGCCTATGCGGGGGAGGAAGGGGAGAAGAACTGCTACTTCTCGCCGCAACTTTGCAGTGGTGCGATGCAGTCCGGAATTTGTGTAATTAACTTCCTTTCACGCCGCTGCGCCTGGTCACGTATCCCGTTCCTAAAATGCTATATAAGTCCTTCCTCTCTCCCTCACTCACCCTAAAAGCGAAACCAAAAACACGCCAACAATAACAGCACCCTCCCTCTCTCTCCCCTCCCTGCCTGTCTTCTGTCTCACTCCGTCTCCACAACTCTCAATCCCACGGCGCTTACTTGCTCAGCTCGGCCGGTGTATAGCTAGCTAGCTACTACCCAGGTAGCCGGGCTAGATGATGCGTGGTAGGTTGCTACAGCAACTTTTCCGTTTAAGTCTAGTGTGGTCTGGAATAATAAGTCATTGCATCTTACTCCTCTCTCTTTGGCCCTCCTCCTGCCAACCCCCTCTCGCGGGCTCTCTCTTTCACTCACTCACTCACTCTTATTTGGTCCTCCTCCCTTCTGTTTTGACTCCTCCTGTATTTCACTTCTTCTTCTTCTTACCACCCAGTTAGTTGTTCACAGACACTTGTTATACTACTACTACAACGTACAGGATGGACACCCATCCCAGTTTCCCATGGTACTTACAACCCCCCCCCCCCACGCATCCTATTCTTTTGGCATGCAATTTGAGGTGGCCAGTTGATAATATTTTGCCTGGGCAATTCCTCCTCCACCTGGTATCAATTACTCCTAAAGTCTTTGCCAGTCTTATAGTGGGTGTGTGTCATGGACTTGCACCAGGACTTCCTTTTGCAGAATGCTGCATTCTTGCTTTTGTCATTGAATTGGATTGAGTTGCAGTTAAGTCATGGTGAGCAAAGGGTTATCATTTAGTGGCAAAAAAATTGTTTTTTTGTGTTCTTGGTGCTGATGACCATGTGTGGTTGTTGTAAGCTTGGTTCAAGTACTGAAAATGCTGCTGTGTGCAACCAGTAGCATTGTGTTTCTAACAATATCAGTTTATATTTATGTCCCACACTTGTTTCAAGAAGCAAATGTTTTACTAGAGATGCTACTAAAACAATTGCAGAAGATTTCATCTATTTCCAGAAAATAATAATTCTGAATAGAATAGCATAGAATACTGTTGGAATCACCCTCTCTTTCTTCACATTTTTGGATGCAGCAAGTGATACTAACCAAAAATGATTAGTTTAGATGAGACCTTGTGATTGGTTTGTTGGGTAATTGCCTATGCCACTACATAGAAGGTTTTTCTAAACAGTCAATGAACAATTCATAGGACTCAATGATAATGATAGTATCATCATTGTTAATATTTAAGCAAATTTTAGATCATTTTGAATCCAGAAAATTATGATTGTATGGTCACCTAGATTCTAGCTGGAGTAGTTGGAAAAACCACTTTGGAACATTCCACCATCTGAATTAAAATCAGGTTGATTCTCTAAATAAAAACACACACACACCCCCACATACAAATCTTCCCTTGATGCTACTTTTAGCATAACATTGATTTTTGTAACTCATGTTTGTCATGCCTGTAATTAGATTACAAAAACTGTGAGCTGTAGATTGTGTTTCATTGATGAGATTTATAGCTATTTTCATCGATTAATTTTACATTTACTTAAAGTGGTTGTTCTTCTGAAACTTGTTGTAAGCTAAAGATTTTATTTATTCATGTCATAAGTTTTACAGAGAAATTTGGAACCTCAGACTTGAAAAGGTAATGAAAACTTTGAACTTTATGTTGTGATAGATTCGTGAGGTGCTTTGATTGAATTTCTTTAGAAGCATGAAAACCAAACTTACCACACTTCTACAGCAATAATTTATTGGTAATAAATTTCTTGCAGTGATCACTTCATTGAGGTTCAACCCAATCCATTGATGGATTACTTCTTAGAATTAATAATTTATTACCAAGTCTTCACAATTTATTTTAATTTTTAAAATTACAAATTGAATCAATATTCTTGTTTAAATTAGACCCAGATAATATATCTAAGAAGGTTGGGTTCACAATTTATATGTCGTTCATTCACCACTTCAACTACCAGTCATTTTCTGTTATGGTCGAGAAATGGTGATTTGGGATCTGTGGAAGATTGTCAAACTCCAATCAATCTCCAAAAATGATTAACTTATTTTTGGATCATGAATTTAAAAAATGACTTTCTATACATCAAGTTTATTATTTTTCTTCATTTCATTTATGAATGGTTTTTGTGTACATTCATGTATTGCCACTAGATATTTACAAAAACAGCATATGATGACTGGATTATAAATAAATTCTTTTAAATAGAAGCGTGATTATTCAAATATTATGTTTTTTAATTCGATTTCTATATATTTCATTAAATCGATTGTTACATTATAACTATTCTTTTAAGCATTTTTCAATAAGAAAGGTTCAATGTTTCTTATAAGAAAAGAAGAATCAATATTAAAAGATCATATCCAAATTTGATTGCAAAACTTATTAAAAAAATTGTAGTGTATTGGATATATATATATATATATATATATACATACTTTTTACTTAAATAGAAATAAATAAATAAATGTGAATATACATATTAAGAAAGTAACATTAGTATTTGAAAACATCAAAAACCTTCTTACATACATAGTAGATCAATAAGTTTTTCTTTATTTCTCTACATCATTTCTTTTTATTACAAATAAATATAATTTTCAAAAATAAATTCTTAATGACTAAAAATTTATAATTATAGAATTATGAAACTTACACAAGTGATTTAGAAGCCTTTTGGTTTTCAAAAAAATGTTCACATGATTTATATATCTATATAAATATATATAAAGAGAAAAAGAGAGAGAGACAAAATTGAGATTATTGTTTGAATGATTAGTTTATTTTTTCTACTTGAATCATATATCAAGATTTTCTAATAACTTTGAATTTAGAAATCATAATAAAAAAATTGTTCTGTATTCTTCTAATAGATATATATATATATATATATATATATATATATGTATTCTAATGAAATCCATGCTTTTGGCAACAAAAAAAAGTGCCCAATAGTAAATATTTGTTAGTTTATTTATTTGTTGGGAGCTTCCAAGTTCCATGCATGGTGATCTTGCAATGCTACTCTTGGCAGTCTACAAAAGTTGGGTTATTGCTTCACTTTTGCTTTACTTTTAATACTATCACTTTTACTAAAACTACAAGTTTAGTTAATTTTATATTTTATATAAATTATAAAAAACAAGAGATTGATCTTTAAAATTTAAAATTTAAAAAATAAAATAAGAATTAAATTAATTAAATGTAGTATAAAAATATTTTTTTATTTGATAAATATATATTTAAAAGAAGTTTTAAAAATACATAAATAAATACTAAAATAATTTTTAATTGTATAATTACCAAGTTTTTATTTTCTCTAGTTAATTTAAATTGGTCATTGCGAAAGTATATGTCCTTTTCAGATTATAGGCTACAAAAAAAACACTCTAACGTAATTTATTTTTATTAATTATAATTCTATGTTTTTCATAGTTACCATGTTGACCTATTGCATGTGTTGCATAAATCTAAATGTCCTTAATTTTCTTTGTATTATAAATTTCATTAATAACTTTTGGTAATCACATTGAATTTAAAATGTATATACTTAGTTTGATAATATAAAATTACATAAACATAAAGTTTTACGATCAGACAGTATTAGCATAGGAAATTTTCATTACTAGCATAAGTACCTAAAAACTCTAAATCAAAATAATATAAATTATTTTAGAATTAAAACTTTAAGATTTTTGTTACCATAAAAAAAATAGCGACTAAAATTAACTTTATTAATTTATTTTTCACTATAATACCTTGTTATATAGTTGATATTGAAAAATAATTACTTATGTTTTTCATAATATAAATTATAGAAACAATTAATTTTATAAAAGACTAAATAATTTATACAAAAATGAGATTTAATTTGACATACGTGATTTGGAAATCAAATACAAACATGAACTTACTCCATTATCATCACTTTTTTTTTAATATATATATTATAGTCTAATATATTATTTTAAAGATAAAATAGTATAAAATTAAATCAAAGACTTAAAAATTATTAAACAAATATAAGAAATTCAGATTATTTTAAAATATTTAAAAAATATTCACTAATAAATATTATTTCAACTTAATAATACTATATGTTATAATTCTATTTTTATTTAATTTTAATTATTTAATTTTTTTTCGACCAATTATTAAGAATAGACTAATTTTCATTTTTTCAAAAACAATTTAAACTTTTAAAACATTAAATGCAATGAATATTATATTATTTGAATTTTATATTGATTCTTAAACTTGTGTTTATTTTTATTAAATGTTGAAGTTTACTATAACATATACATATATATATATATATATATATATAGAGAGAGAGAGAGAGAGAGAGAGAGAGAAAAAAAAAGAAAAAAAAAGAGAGAGAGAGAGAGAGAGAGAGAGAGAGAGAGCTCAATCATATGTTTAGAAACATTGTCTTTGCATAGTTGTTAATAAAATAATAATTTTAATTAAGATGATTTATTTTACTATATATATATATATATATATATATATATATATTATAGAGAGAAAATTAATTTCATTAATTTAAATATTTTTAAATATAGTGATATTTAATTGAATTTTTTAAAAAATTTATAAATACCATAAGAATATAATTTGTTATAATTTTTTAATGTTTTAGATTGTATTGATATTTTCTTGTATTAAGAAATAGTTATTGTATTCTTGCATATAGAAGAAGTAGTAGTTATATTATAAATTGTGACCATGATTAAGATATTTTTAATTTTTTTTGTATTGTATTTATAGATTTTTTAAACATAATGCTATTTTTTTATTTTGTTTTATTTTATTTTAGTAAAAATATAATTAATTACATGTTTTAGATGAAAATAAATTATCAAAGTAAATCTTTTCCAATCTATACAAACATTATATTCAATAGACTTTTGGTAATTTTTTAGATTTATAATTTAAGTATTATACAAAATAAAAATCTATTATAATCAATGATTAGTTTGGGAAATTTTGATACTTTGTTTGAAGTGTTTATTTACAAAACTAAAGACTTCAATGCCTTAATGGTAAAAAAAAACAATTGAATATAATTTCATTTAAAAATCATAGAAACAATTGATCTGATTTTTATTCATTTTATATGTCATTATTAAACCAATTGTATATGTATAAATGTTTT